AGCAAGGAGGGAAAGGGGTGCGGCCGAAAGGAAGGAAGGGACGCCCAGGCGCCGAAGAGTTCAACGATGAGGCGTAAAGGCGCACGCGAAGTCCCGGTTGTGGTGGGGCGCGCCCAGGGGAGAAGGCGGAGGGGGGCGCGGGCCATCGCAGAAGGCTGAGCGGGCGCCGGGCCTTCTGAGAAGCTTTCTGGATGCAGCCTTCTCCATTGCTCACTGCACCGACCTTGCAGACGTGCTGCAGCGGACTTTTGCGCAGATTTTCTGTCAACGCAAAGCCCCGACACGGCGAGTGAAAAACGAAGTGAGCTTCGCGTGGGTTGGTTTTAGTCTTCATTTCTGGCCAAACAAAATCCGCACAAAATGCACTTCGGAATCCGGAACGAGATTCTCCAGGACTCCCCAGGCCTTTTCTATTGAAATCCGCACGATCCGTGCTGCGACGTTGGCGCCATGGCATTGCCGCAGGGAGCCTCGCGGAAAACCAGAGGGCTTCGGAGTCTCTTCCGCTGCTCTCTGCGGACCCGCCTATGCACCCGACTCGGACGGGACTGAAAGCGCACGCGCGCGTAAATGCGCAATCGCAAATCAACGAGCACGCTTCCGTCGCGCAACAACAACAACAACAACAACAACAACAACAACAACAGCAACAGCAACAGCAACAGCAACAGCAACAGCAACAACAACAACAACAACAACAACAACAACAACAACAATGACTAGCACGTGGGGACACTCCGTTCTCACCAGTGCCAGGGTTTTCATAGGAGGCGGGCAATACCCCCACTTTGTGGGGGGGCCGGTTCAAGCTCTACCAAATTTCCAAACGACTCTTCGCCACCACCCACACCCAGCTTCCCGCCCTATGACGTTCGGACACTTCACTTCGTGGCATGCGGACGACCGTGGCTACTATTCAGGGCCCCGCGGCCGACGACGACGGCGTGCGCGCGCGAAGAAAAAACGAATGTGTCCCGCATGGTATTATTTGACAGGGATGATGGCCCTGGCAGGTGCGCAACCGTTGTTGCAGAAGTTCGAAAAAGTTGCTCGCAAAAGCCCGTTTGACAGAAATGTTTAAAAAGTGTTGGGTTTCCTACGAATCCGCAAGAGCGCGCGGGATGAAATTTTGACAATTTTTTTTTGAAAAACCATTGGTTTTTTGATGTTTTTATGTTAAAATCGCTACGAAAACTAAGGTTTTGGAAGGATTTCGTCTTGCGCGCGCGAATGTCCACTTTACCTTATTTTTTGCAAGGGATTCTTGAAGTTTGGTTATGTTAGAACAAGAAATGTCCACTTTAGCTTATTTTTTGCAAGGGAAAACCGATCGTAACAACACAACCGGATCCGGACTCCCCCGTTTTGCCTGAGACTTCCTCACGAAAATGATGAAAATGAGGCTGCGGCCTAGGCGCGGCGGGGGAGTCGTGCACCAGGGGCCCCAACAATAATTATTCTTTAGAACTAATAATGTTCAACAAGGAACAACCGCGCGTGAGTGCCCCATGGTCCCGGACCTCGTTCCCAGCGTTCTTCCCTAAGGCGGAACCGCGCGTCTGTGCCCCATTGGCCGGTTCGGACCCCCCCCCAGCAACTAGCAACCAGCAACCTGGGGCTCCGTTCCCTGCTCCGCTGGCGAATTTGCTCGCTGAGTCCTCCATGCCATTTTGCCGTGTCTGCACCAGCGAAGCTCCGGAATCTACGGAGTCCTATCGGATCCTTAGGGGTGGATCCAGCTCTGATAGAATCCTATTACTGGTGGATCCAGTTCTACTACAATCCTATTAGTGTGGATCCACCTCTACTACACTCCTATTAGTGGTGGATCCACCTCTACTACAATCCTAATGGTGGTGGATGCACCTCTACTACGAACCTATAAATGGTGGATCCAGCTCTGATAGACTCCTATTAGTGGTGGATCCAGCTCTGATAGAATCCTATGAGTGGTAGATCCAGCTCTGAAAGAATCCTATTAGCGGTGGATCCAGCTGTACTAGGGTCCTATTGGAGAGGCCTGACGGCCGGTGCCGCCGACCCTGATCGACAGGGCTAGGAGTGGGGGGAGGAAGCGGAGGATGAGGAGGAGGAGGAGGAGGAGCAGGAGGAGGAGGAGGAGGAAGAGGAGGAGAAGGAGGAGGAGGAGGAAGTGCATCCTTTGTGTGCCCGCTCGAAGAAAGTGCGCCCCGGGAGTGTGATATTCTGACTTGGGACGTGCTCCCGGAAGAGGAAGAAGTGCATCTCGGGCGTGCCCGCTCGAGGAAAATGCGCCGTGCGGGACAGGAGGAGGAGGAGGAGGAGGAGAAGGAGGAGAGGAGGAGGAGGAGGAGGAGGAGGAAAAGGAGGAGGAGGAGGACCAGGAGGAGGAGGAAGTGCATCCCGTGCGTGCCCGCTCGAGGAAAGTGCGCCCCGGCGGGCGTCGTATCTGCCCCAGGCCCCCCCCCCTCCCCCCCTCCCCCCCCCCCTGCGGGGAAGGGATCAAAGGGAAGGGGCTTCCCTTCGACTCCACTACGACGTCGTTTCATTTCGTTTTGGATAGCGCGCTGAGGAGGAGAGCCCTGGGAGGGGGAGAACGGAGACGACGGAGACGACGAGTCGAACGGAGAAGCCCCTCACACACGCCGACAGGGTCGGCGAATTAGTGGTTAATCCAGCTCTGATGGAATCCTATTTGGAGTGGATCCAGCTCTGATAGAACCTTATTAGGAGTGGATCCGGCTGTGATGGAATCCGATTAGGAGTGGATCCAGCTCTGATAGAACCCGATTTGTAGTGGATCCAGCTCTGACAGAATCCTGTGGGGAGTGGATCCAGTTCTGATAGAACCATATTAAGAGTGGATCCAGCTCTAATAAGAGTCCTTTTAGGAGTGGATCCAGCTCTGATAGAATCCTAGTAGGACTGGATCCAGCTCTAATAGTCCTATTAGGATTGGATCCACCTCTACTAGAATCCGATTAGGAAGGATCCAGCTCTAGTAGAATCCTATTAGGAGTGGATCCACCTCGAATAGAATCCGATTAGGAGTGGATCCAACTCTAATAGATTCCTATTGGGACTGGATCCAGCTCTAACAGAATCCTATTCAGGGTGGCTGAGCTCCCTGTTGGGCCAGGGAGCTCCCTGTGTGGCCAAGGGCACGATCCTCAAGATGGGTGTGCCGAAATGAAGATTCGGTGGCGTTCCTTGTGGGGCCAGGGCCACGATCCTCGAGAGGGTTTTGCCGAAATGAAGCTTCGGTGAAGCTCCCTGTGGGGCCAGGGCCACGATCCTCGAAAGGTGTGCGCCGAAATTAACCTTCGGTGGGGTTCCCTGTGGGGCCAGGGGGGCCACGATCCTCGAGATGTATCCGCCGAAATGAAGTTTCGGTGGAGCTACCTGTGGGGCCAGGGCCACGATCCACGAGAGGGGCGTGGCGAAATGAAGTTTCGGTAGAGTTCCTTGTGGGGCCAGGGCCACGATCCTCGAGAGGGGCGTGCCGAAATGAAACTTCGGATAAACTCCCTGTGGTGCCAGGGCCACGATCCTCAAGACGGGTGTGCCGAAACGTTGTTTCGCTGGAGCTCCCTGTGGAGCTAGGGCCACGATCCTCGAGAGGTGTGTTCCGAAATGAAGTTTCGGTGGAGCTCCCTGTGGGGCCAGGGCCACGATCCCCTTTGAAAGGGGTGTGCCGAAATAAAATAAAGTTTTGGCGGAGATCCCTGTGGAGCCATGGCCACGATCCTCGATAGGGGTGTGCCGAAATGAAGTTTCGGTGGGGCTCCTTGTGGGGCCAGGGCCGAGATCCTCGAGAGGGGTGTGCCGAAATGAAATTTCGTTGGGGTTCCCTGTGGGGCCAGGGCCACGATCCTCGAGAGGGGTGTGCCGAAATAAAGCTTCGGTGGAGCTCCCTGCGGGGCCAAGGCCTCGATCCTCGAGAGGGGTGTGCCGAAATGAAGCATCGGTGGAGCTCCCTGTGGGGCCAGGGCCACGATCCTCGAGAGGGGTGTGCCGAAATCGGGCTTCGGTGCAGTTCCCTGTGGGACCAGGGCCACGATCCTCGATACATGCGTGCTAGAATGAAGTTTCGGAGGAGCTCCCTGTGGCGCCAGGGCCACGATCCTCGAGAGGGGTGTGCCAAAATGAACTTCGGTGGAGCTACATATCGGACCAGGGCCCCGATCCTCGAGAGACGTGTTCCGAAATGTAGCTTCGGTTAAGCTCCCTGTGGGGCCAGGGCCATGATCCTCGACAGGGGTGTACCGAAATGAAGTTTCGGTGGAGCTCCCTGCGGGGCCAGGACCGAGATCCTCAGGAGGGGTGTGCCGAAATGAAGCTTGAAACGAGCTCCCTGTGGGGCCAAGGCCAAGATCCTCGAGAGGGTTGTGCCGAAAGCAAGCGTCGGTCCAGCTCCCTGTGGGGCCAGGGCCACGATCCTCGAGAGGAATGTGCCGAAATGAAGCTTCGGTGGGGTTCCCTGCGAAGCCGAGGCCACGATCCTCGCGAGGGGTGTGCCGAAATGAAGCTCCGGTGGAGCGCCCTGCGGGGCCAAACCAACAATCCCGTGGGGAGGTCCACCGACATGAAGCTTCGGTGGGCCTCCCTATCCTGGTCTGGCCTCGGTGAAACGGACCTCCTTGTCGCAATGGCGTGCGTAAATGTCTGGCACACGGAACTGCAGTAATTTTGGCGCCGCGGCCCGGCGCGCAGCAACAGGGCGTAGAAGGCCGAACATCAGCAAACGAGCGCTCGCGCGTCTAAGCCCGCCCGAGCACTCAGAGACCACTCAGGGTCTCCCAGCCGCCGGCAGCCATAACCATCAGGGCATGGATGGCGGGGTGGGGCGGAAGGACCAGACACCGGTGAAATGGAAGGTGAGAGCGTATCCGCACAAGCACCAGCGTCAGAGAGAGTCACTAACAAAAACCAGATGACAAGAACTCCCCCCTCCCCCCCGCACAGAACGCAATCACGACAGAACAGACAACAGACAACAGGCGCAAAGAAATGGGATTGGCCTGGCGCTGCGGCGGGTCGTCCGAGCTGTAGGTGTTCGAGTCCAGAAAAATCACAGACAGGTTGCCAGGGCCCAGGTCCTCAAACGCGGGCCACACCAAAGAGGGTCAACCTCCTCCTTCCTCCTCCTCCTCCTCCTCCTCCTACTCCTCCTCCTCCTCCTCCTCCTCCTCCTCATCATCATCATCATCATCATCATCATCATCATCATCATCATCATCCTCCTCCTCCTCCTCCTCCTCCTCCAACTCCTCAAACTCCTCAAATTCCTCCTCAAACTCATCCTCAAACTCCTCCTCCTCCGCCTGCTCATCCTCCTCCTCCTCCTCCTCCTCCCT